TACGTTATTTTTCTTTATATTAATTTCATTCATCAGCGCTTTTGAAAGGTTGTACAAAAATGAAAAAATGATATTTTACTATTCTGAATTATAAACTATTTAGGTATTTAAAGATTAAGTAGATATAATTTTATCAAAAACATTGTACATATAATATAAAAATATAAAAAATGCATATTGTTTAATATTCTACCTGGCTTCGAAAATTAACTTAAAAAGCCAATCAGACACTAATAAATTTATGATTTAAATAATAAATTTAAGTTATTGATGAGCTGTAAATATAGTTTTACACAATTTAAGTCCAAAACAGAAAATACTTTATTCTATACAAATTAATACATTTTATACATAAATKTATATATATATATAAATCAAATATGCAAATAGGTTAGACTAATTTAAATTTTAAACGCTTACCTTGAAAAAAATTATTTTTGTATTTTCTCTTAGATGAAGAAGAAGTTAAAGTTATTTCCAGGAATAATACTGGTAACTATTGGTGTAAATCTCAGGAACTCTTCAATATACTCGGAAATGGTAAGAACACAAATACGTTAACAAAATTTGGATTCCAGGATTAAAAATGGGATGTGTGAAAATATTAATTTCATTTTTACATTGTATATAAATATTACCATTTTGTTATTCATATTTTTTTTTWAAATTAAATACAGATAATACTAGTATCTGTGACAAAACGATAGAAACCTCAACTAAATCTTGTTTAAATGGCGGTTTCATGCAATCAAAAAGATCAACGTGCGTTTGCCCTCCAGGATTTATAGGACAATTTTGTGAAATAGGTAATTAAACTTCTATCGTAAAAATATATACACACATCTTTGTTACTTTTTATAGTTGATATTTTGAGAACAATTTGTTATAACTTAAAATTATAATACAATAATATTTAAATATATTAATGTAGGAATAAGATAGAATATATGTTGTATAATTGTTTGTGCTATTTAMAAATMATAAATACGTATCATATAATATGCAAGTTTACCTAAAAGACATTAGTTATTTATTTTAAAATGTCTTACAATAACTTTATGATTTATGATTTATACAATTTAATCATTTGGATAACAATATTGAAATATAAAAATTTTTAAATACTCAAATTATCAAGKAATTTATACGATTCCGAAAYCGTAATACATAAATATTCTTTATTGCAAATCTTAATTTTTATATTTATTCTACTTATTAACAGTCATGAGTATATAACAAGTAACTAATTGATTCAATCTGCCTTTGAGAACACTTTAATCACTAAAAATAAATAAATAAATATAAAAATTAAAAATTAAAATATATTCCAGGATGTGGATCTAATTATTATGGA